CAAGTAGATAAAGAAAGGAGGAAGTTTATCTTCGGAAGAAAAATGATACTTTAAAGGCAGCCGCAGAATGTACTCGCCAAGCAAAAATGCTCTTGATCCAGATGAGCCTCATTTTGATGATAACCTTATTAGTAATTGATGATACTTATTAGGAAATGATTGATGGAAAGCCATGCCAACATTTCCAGCCCTGAGGATATATTCCTGACTTTGATTTTTGTCCTTTTTTCTTTCATTTTTACATATTTACTGGAGAGACAACATTGCCATGATAAAATTTTGTTGAAAATTAAAAACTACAAGCAGATTATTCCAAGTGCCTACAACATGCATGGCATATAGTACTAGTACTTTAATGTGTTTAAACTATATTCTAAAAATAACAATTAGAATCATTTCTGTGCCTTTTGCATTTCTTCTATAAGGTCTGGCATGTTTCTGATAAGGTTGTGGGGTGCAAATTAACTTGGTGTGCTATATTTTAGAGTTTGAAGGTGATGTGAAATTGATTCAAGTCAATGTTATCTGTCTGTGTGCAGAGGAAACACCTAACGTGTAAGGTGAGATTTCTTATGCAATGCAGTGGACTGGAGAGTGGACAGGACAAACCTGCAACTCAGGAATTGGGACTGAGAGTCTCACTTTACCCAGCATTTCAGTGCATGCCCCCAAAGCCAAATCTCAGGGACACACTTGAAAATTATGTAGCTGTACCCAACGGTGACATCACTTCTTCTACTCAATTGGTCCTAATTGGCAAAGTTTAGCTTTCCTGGAAAACTGAAGTGAATAATAATTTTTTTCTATATAAATATTAACACTGAGCTCATTATGGTCTCTCAACAGGAAAGTTGTCTAATTGTGTGTAACGTTTGTCTTAGCTTCGTGACATTTGTAACATTAAAACTCATCAGTAGAAAGGATCAAAATAATTTAATATCTAAAAGTGAAAAGTTTTGTATTTGGCTTATGTTAAACTGTGAGTACTGATTGTGCTATAACCTTTGACTTAGGGCTGCCCAAGCCACTAGATTGACAATATTTAAATGGCAGTGGAGTACCCATCTCTCACAAAACTAAACAAAAAAAGGGGATAAAAATGAAGGACCATTTTGTATCTGTATATGCAAAATAGTTAGGATAGATATACAGCTACTTTCTCTTAATTTAATCTTTCAAAGACAGATTTGTACTAATAGTGTTTGGACAGGATATCATGTCTGCATCTTGTACTATGAATAACCACTACGAAGACAACAATATGCAATGTATTAATTATTGAAACTGTCCTACTAATTGGTTTTGAAATTGTCTCATTGCTATTTGTTTTTCAATAAAATTAAGAAAAGAAAGAGATTGGAACAAAAAAGGCAGTGCTGTAACTGAAGGCTCAGCCCTGTCCCAACTGGCTCAGAGTCAGTCCGAGTACGAGGAAGTCTATAGGTGAAATTCCTTTCTCCTCTGCTTTCTGTTTCTTGTGTTGTCCTCAGCGACAGTGCATCCTGGCTCTTTCATTGCCCCCTTTTTATAGACCTGTGTTTCAGTGGAGTTTACTTTAAGCAAGACTTCCCAGTAGATGTATACTCACAATTGTTTTTCCATCAGCAACCTTATTAGTGATACATATTAATGAATTTTGAGCATAGTACTGAGTTCAGAACAAAGAAAGGATTTTATAAGCATTAACTTAATATAACCCTATAAACTATAAACTTATTATTATCACTTTCAGATGAGCAAAGGGGAGTTAAACATACCCAATATCCCCTAAGTGGTAGCACTCCATTCAAAACAGCAGTGAGACTCCCGCCTGCAGATCCATCCAACATGCACATTGTCAACAGCAGACAGCTGTGCCCTAGTGCAGTGAAAATGCAAAGGACACGCCATAGGCTCTTAGTGGCACTTAGTGGCAAAAGCCACTTATGGATCAATTTAGCTTTGCAATTTGACTCAAGGGAAACAGAGCCATAGAAGGAGAAGCAAGCTCTTCGGTCTTGTTTCATTCTTCCTGGTTCTAATTGTGCGCCCTCAAGAAATGAAGCCTCAGTCGGTCTGTGTAGGCCCTTCCAGCAGGGGCTGTGCACTGTATTTCCTGGGAAAGAAATAACATCCAAACTCAAGAACACAATTGCTACTACCAGGGATGAGTCAAATAGGTAGGGACTGAGGCAGAGAAGTTGGAGTTTCCAAAGTAGAAGTGGTTGAATCTTTTGCCCAGAGTCATTTAGCTGTGACAGCAGGCTTGGCGTTTGCTGCACTGGGGTCTTGTGGTCCTTTAGGCATGGGTTCTCTGATACTGAAACTTTGGCTTTGCATTGGCAGCAATCAGTTAAGCTGCACAACCTGGTGGAAGATCACAACAAAGTCCAGGTTACCATCATGGTAAAAGACAAAGGTGAGTATATGTTCTGCCTCTTCAGCATCCTTCTGTTGCTTGGTAGAATCTTTCTCATTTGTCCTTGTTTATCAGAGAATGGGAAACAGTGTTTTCTGATCAAACCCAGGACTCAGACTGGCATGAGACAGTTAGGTATCTAAGACTTGAAAAGAGTTGAGGCTGTGCAAATGTTACCCCTGCATCTGCAAGCCCTGGTAGCCCTCGCCTCGGTTGCCTTCATCCTGCAACTCTCTCGTTGGCCTCTGGCTGGGCCCAGCCCCATTGAGCCATTGCTGCACAGTATCCGGGTTACTTCAGAGTCCCTCTGCCCTCCATATTTCATTCACTTGACTATTACTGAGTAAGTCTTTCTCAACTAACTAATCCAAAGACCCTGACCCCTAGAACATAGATCCAAAGAAGGTGTTTAGATGCTGGCTGACCCTTGCTATTTGCTCTCAGCCAGCCTCGAATGGGGTGGCCACAGATTTCTTCAAGAAATGAAGAGCTGCACTGCAGAACAGCAGAAATCTGTCTGGACAACTTACCTGAGGCCCCAGTCCACCAAAGCAAAGGTGGCCAGGGTTCACATACCCAGGCAAGATGTCAATAGCAGCCATGGGGCACTTCTCCTCCTGCCAGTGTCCGTGGGTATTCACTGTGGATAGAGCACAGGCCAGCTACTAGGCTCAGAATAGATTTCTGTTGCTGAGCTAATCCTCAGCTCTGTTCCCAAAGACTATTCCCTATTCCTGGTTCTCTTGGAATTTTCGGTTGAGTGGAAACACAGGTAGGGTGGCTCTTAGCCGACAGGTGGGTAAGCGTTCTTAGTCACCATATCTCTTAAGTAAGAACAAGAAGAGGTCAGCTGGTGACGGAATTTTTGCTATTACATAGGCTTGCAGGAGCTGGAATCCCGCCTCTTGGTTCCTGGAGATAATCTTATTCTTCCAGGAAAATTATCACTGCCATGTGATGCTGTTCTGATTGATGGGAGCTGTGTGGTGAATGAGGGTATGCTCACAGGTAAGCAGCTGTCCTGGTGCTTCCTCCTCCACGTGCAGTCCCTAAGCACATGCCAGCAAATCAGACCAACATATACTTCCTGAGCTAGTACCAAGGTCCTGCTAAGAAACTGAGAGCTACACAAAAGACACATGCCCAGGGTCTTCATTGACACAGAGGCACAATATACATGCATGGGCAGTGTTCAATAACCAGGTAATTAAGCTACAATAAATACACAACTGTAAGAACATTTAATGCCATACGTGCCGAATTGTCCAGTGTACAGGATGAGTAGGATGAGTGGAAGGGGCTTGGACGGGCAAACAGCTGGAAACAATCTTTTCATAAATAGGAGAATTGTTATGTCCAGATCCAAACAAAATACAACCTAAAAAGTCAATAAATCTCACAACTGGAAGAGTGTAGAGATTTTCTTTAGGCCTGTGTGCTGTGGCTAGAAATCTAGCAACTTCTAGGTTTGACTGGAAAGTTTGTGTTGAACCTGAGGGCATACACAGTAACAGTTGGGTTCTCCTTTGAGTTTGTATATGAAGTTGCTCTCACTGTGCAGGAAACTGGTCTTGCAGTTATAGCTAGAATGGTCCTAGTTTTCATTTGTAGTTTGTAAAGTCTCCTTGCATTAATATGAGGCACTATTTATAAAATGTTCTTAGGTACAGAAACCCCACAAAGCACAGCACAATATAGTAAAAGAAACTATACTGCAACAGAAAGATAGAAACTATTTGTCTTTTGTGCTTACAGATTGTGGAGTTTTTCTATTGCCAAATGGTATAAAGTCAGGGAGAAAAACATGCACAAAGCTTTAACACAACCTAAATGTAATGAGAATTCATTATCTATTCTTGAATTGCTCAGCATAAGCAGATTTCACATTAAAAATGGGCCTTCTTAATTTAAAATTGAGAGAAGAAAATGTAGTAAACATAAATATATTTAGTATAATTATAAAATATCCCTTTAATGTGTTGAAATCTAGCTGCCGTATAACGATAGTGATGAGGATTTGCATACTGATCATATCTTTCATCCCGAATGTTGCCATAGCACCCAACGTGCAAACCTCAAGCTCGAGAAAAATTGTCCTTCTCACTCAGAGGCAGCGACTGTCTCGTGTCTCCTGCAGCTTAGTGGTACAGAATGGCTTCTCTCGCTGGCACCAGAGTGCACCGAAGCAGTGGGGAGACAGGGGCAGGAAAGACAGGAAACTCAAGCCCTCGGGTTGCCCTTTGTCCTCCGACTGGCTTGGCATAGAGTACCTGCTCTGATTCTCAGAAAAATTCACAGGGTCCCAAAGAATTAGGACTTGTACATAATTCTGTCTTTCAATAAATACACAAAGCTAACCCAAAATGACCTTAAGTGGACAGTGTTTTTTTCTTTTGTCCATTTCTGGAAAAATTAAAATCCTCAGCACTAATATCTGCTATTAGTTATTTAACTAATATGTTAAATTATGTTATTTAACCAAATTAAACTATAGAGACAAACATGTTAATTAGAAATATACCTATCTCTGTCTCTATCTCTATGTATTTTTCATTAATTTCTTCAAAAAATGTAATTTCCAGTATTTTCTAAATACTTGATTACTTCACTTACGTAGATCCTTCCATCAATGCTTGTAATGATGGTACAAAGGAGCCTGATTGAATAATCAAAGGATTAGGCTTAGATTTCTGAAACTGCAAATGTATTCTCAGGATATTTATCCCCAAATGTGATTTCAGATTTATTTTTTTCCATGCGAAAAATAGTCCTTTGTATCTACAGAAAATTTTATTTGTATAAGAATAAAAATAGAGAGCAGGGGCCGGGGGTTCGATCCCCAGGCCTGACACGCTGGCCCCGCCTCTGGGACATGCAGAGACAGCAATTGAGACAGGGCGTGGTGGTGTGCACCTGTAATCCCTACTCTTGGGAGGCTGTGAACAGGCAGATAACTAGGAGTCTGATCTAGTAGTGAGACCCTGAACACCCTGCAGACCCTTCATATATATATATACCCAAAAGAATAAAGACAGTGACTACTCCTAGCACCTCTGTAGTAGCTTATGCTTTATAAGAAACTTTTACTTCTGTCTTCATCATGGAATAAGCAAATTAGAGTAGGAGCTACGGCAGTACTGATCTATAAAGGAGGAAACTGCAGTACAAAGAGCCCACAGCTGCTTGTGAGTGAGAAGCAGACCTAGACATGGTGTGTGCTCCACACACGCAGGACACAAGAAAGAGGGAGACAGTCCTAAGGCATCCAGGGGCTGCCTTCACCCTGGCCTCATTACCTCTTGCATGCTGTGTGCAGCGCAACCTGCTGGTGGGACCTTTTTTGTGCTCATCTCCTCAGCTTTGTCACGTTGCCATAAACACCTATGCAAGAGGTCCAGCTTTATTTTGTAAATATATGACATTTTTATTTTTACATTGTTATTATTAGTTTTTTTGCAGTGGTACCAGGGCTTGACCTTGGGACCTTGCACTCTAAAGGCAGGCATTGAAGCCACTGAGCTGAACACGCTCTTGGGCATCTCCTCCTTCGGGTGTTTCTGCTCTACCCTAAACTGTCTGAGATCTATCCACTTGGGAACACTCAAGTGCTGTTAATCTGTATTTCCACAACCTGATTTCCTGTCCCAGGATCACATGGCAGGGCCTTTTTCTTGGGGACATACAGCATGCATGCCTCCTCTAGCTTCTCCCCCAACACCAGTCCAGGGATCTTTAATTTCGGTAGAGATGAAGTAGATGGAAGGCGTTACTTTTAGGTAGTTCCTCAAGTTCATGACCAAGTTCATGAATGACTTGCACAACTCAGAAGTCAGCCATCCATTCCCCGCCCATTTTTTCTGCCTCTTTTCCTAAGACAATGACCTCATTCAAGAGCAAGGGCGACTCAAAAGAAGGCAGTCAGGAAGCAACTGCGGCTGTCATGTGGGGAAGAGCCCACTGGTGTTTTATGCTTCTTCTTAGCATAGTAGCTGCTTTCTTAGTTTTCATATATGCTTGGCTTCCTGCCCGCATTTCACATGTTCTTTATGCTCTCTGTCAAAGTGTGCAACTCTGAGGCCCCGCAAAGGTGGATAATTGGCCTACCATGAGGCAAACTAACTAGGGGCTGGCTGAGCGTTCTTGGGTTCATCTGTTAGCTTGTGCATTTGTGCATTTCAAGGATGTGTGCTAGCAGGCACTGGCAGGGATACAGCAGTGAGCAGGACAGAGGAGACTTTCGTCCTCTTGACACTGACATTCTAGTGGAGGGAAAGGAAAGTACCCAATGGGAATGAATGGGAACCATGTTACACAAATATCATAAATCACCAACAGCATGCCTTATGAAGAAAATAAATCAGGGAGACCAAGGCTTTTTGTCCCCAGAGCTTATGCTTAAGAGTCAGGGTTTCTCTCCCAAAGGGTGGTAGGGACGGGGGTGGCATTCACTCTTCACAGTTCCCTCCCCTCACTCTACCCAAGAAAGCTCTGATTGACCTGAGTGTGTGAAGCCCAGAACTGGACACACTGGAACTTCTGCAATGGTTTGCCTGACTGGCATCTTGCCAGAGTAGCTAGCATCAGTCAGTAAATCAGAACTTTTGCTCTCTTCACATCCGGCCTTTCTCTTATCCTATTCCCTTTCTTTCACTTATTCATCAATGTGTTTAATAAAAGCACAGGAATGCCTACTCTGTGCTAGGCACTGTGCTGTGTGTTGCAATTGCACAAAGAGAAATCCTTTACAGTGGAAGCCCCAGAAATGCAAATAAGCAAGCACATGGCATCCCAAACACTGTCACCGTGCAAAGGGAACTGGCTCCCTGGGGCAAGGGAAGGAATTTCTATTTGACAGCAGCTGCTTCCAGGAGCCAACTCTCCAGTTGACTGTAGTCCCTTCTAAACCTAGCCCAGACCGTTTAGACCCCAGTCTTCTGTAGGTGAATCCTTCAAGGGCTCTCGATAATGTGCCAAACAGGAGATTTCTTATCACCATGTGAATAGTGGAAGAGACTTGAAAATGATTTCTGGGTAAAGTCAGATGATTTGAATGTCACCACTGGACAGTATCCCCAGGTGGCTTTCATGTTGGATTGCTTAATACCTGTGTGTCTCCAATTCCACTGACTGTGTGTGTGTGTGTGTGTGTGTGTGTGTGTGTG